AAAAAAAAAAAAAAAAAAGTGTCATGAGGCTGCAGAGTGACAGTCACGATTGTGATTTAAGAGGGCATGATCACTTTTGCCCTTTACGGACCGAAAGAGTCCAAAGCACACACTAGTCCTATGGCAACATCTGACAGTCATCCAACCAACGTTTATTCGTTATTTAAATGGTCCCAGCATGACCACCCTTCGCACCTAACGCTTCCTTTCAAAATTAATTGCCCTTCAGTAGAGAAGGAGCCCTCTGCTATACCTGGATGCGTTCCTTCTGCACTCCTGAAGGGGCAATGTAGATCTCATCGCTGCCAACACAAAACACAGACATGGACTCTTATTCATGCAAGTTCCTGCTCTTGCACAAAAGGAAGTGCATCTCCGCGGTGCAGTCACTCGTGCTCTCATAAACCAAGTGACACAGCCAGCTGCTCGGTTCAGGCACGGACGTGGCTGTGTGGGGGCAAGGAAAAGCAACTTCGGCGCCCGCGATGTGGCAGGTGTCAGCTGCCAGCGGCTGCTCCGTCGTCTGTGTTTCACGTCTGTCTGTTTCTCTTTATGGGGCCAAATCGACAGTGACACGGCTTCTATCTAGGTGGGGAAACAGAACCTGAACACGTCTTGAGCATCTTGGGGCATGAATACAGAGTTTATCCTGTTACGTGTGAAATACAGTTCATCTAAAACCCAGCCATGCTCAGTAGGAGGACATTTCCATCATGCGAAGAATCAGGGTTAGTTTTATTTGAAATGTTCTGATTGTAAACTGTGAAGTTCAGAGACCTCTGCTGGACAGTTTATTAAATTACAGTATTAATACTGGCTCCCAGACTGAGTTTATTAACTGTAACCCTGACAGAGCACAACAGGACAGACGCTCGACACATGTCGGCGAGGGGGCCCCAGTTCCGCACGATGGCTACGGTTTCCCGGGACAGCCCGACTGGGGTCTCCCTGGTGGCCCAGTGGGGTCTCCCTGATGGCCCAACTGGGGTCTCCTGGGACGACCCAACTGGAGTCTCCCTGGTGACCCAATGGGTCTCCTGGGACAGCCCAACTAGGATCTCTGTGACGGCCCAACAGGTTTCCTGGGACAGCCCAACTGGGGTCTCCCTGGTGGCCCAACTGGGGTCTCCCTGATGACCCTACTAGGGTCTCCTGGGACAGCCTGACTGGGGTCTCCCTGATAGCCTGACCGGGGTCTCCCGGTTGGCCCGACTGCTGCCTATCTCCCAGGCCTCGCACTCTTCCTCCAATTCAGTCCGCTCATGTTAAGTCATTTTCTGTTTGCCTCTCGGCATTGCACAGGTGGCAGAAGCTGGCGTGCCGTCCGCCAAACCCAGGCCTAGCAGGTTACCTCTGCTCCCTAGAGCTCACGGTCAGTGCTACTCTGGAAACAAAACTGATTGGGTCTATGCATCATTCCAGATCACCTTGTCCTGAGCGTGAAACTGAGAGAAATCAAACTGGCATGGACAGCCCGGGACGGCACCACTGGCAGACGAATGGCGCGGGCTTCTCGGCATTCGAGTGTCAGAAAATCAACATCTCACCACAAAATGCCTGCTCCAAGATGCCTGAGTACACACTTCATGAGACTCCAATGCTGGACTTAGATTGTGGTTCTCCCTGCCGGCCCTGGGCCTCCTTAAGAGTCTGGAGAAGCCGGGCTCGGTAGCTCAGCCTGTAATCCCGCGCCTTTGGGAGGCTGAGGCGAGTGGATTGCCTGAGCCCACGGGTTCGAGACCTGCCTGGGCAGCAAGACCTCATCTCTACAATAAATCAAAAATTCAGCCAGGCGTGGTAGCGCGTGCCTGTAATTCCGGCTACTCGGAAGCTGAGGCGGAAGGATCGCTGGAGCCCAGCAGGTGAGGCTGCGGTGGCCGGAGCGGCCACTGCACTCTAGTCTGGGTGACAGAGTGAGACTCCAGCTCAAAAAAGAAAAAAAAAAAGAGTCTGGAGAAAGCCCCTCACACACCACATGGTTTCCTAGAAATATAAGTCCAAAAGATGCACCAGCAAGTGGCTTTCAGTGGCCATACATTTGTTGTGCGCGCACTGGTACAAATCTAGGAAGAACACAATCCCCTTTATGTCTTTTTTTTTTTTTTTTTTT